CAGCTTTTTTGCTTCTTTGCAGCTATTGCAAACCAAGAATAACTCAGAAGGTGGTACCAAAGATGAAAGCCCACTCTTCAGGAATTTTTTTGGACTGGACGTGGATGGTGCTGAATTGTTGATTGGATTGAAAAAGGGCTGCCCATATTGTGCTGTACTATGCTGAAACCATAATTAAGACCTTGGACTGCCTCTTGCATCTTAACTGATTCTGCAACTTGTCCTTTAGCCCACAGAAGGCGTATTTCATGTACTGCTTGTTTTTCTCTGTGGACTCTCTAACTTTAGAGCCATGTTCCCCCCCTTCTAACTGATGAACTTTGTGTTTGAAAGGAATAAGGAGTGAAAATCTCCTTTCAAATCCAGGCGGGTATGGAAAGGTGCTGCTACCCATATCTTCTTGACTTTCTTTCTCTCATGACTTTTCTTTAGCCCATGGCATCTCCTTTGCAGTCGAAAGGAAACAAACCATTACTTTCAGTGTTTGTGATTTATAAGTACTGAGCATGAGTTACTGGTCTGCCCCTCTTCGATGTCAAGGCCAGAGTTATTTTCTATTATATCTTTAGTCTAGGCTGATCCTTTAGGGCACAATAGAAACCATGGGGGCATGAGTTGTGAATGGCAGGGTTGATTCTGGGTGAAAAAAACCTAGAATCCTTTCTCATGTGCAACATTGTCAAGTGTAGAAGCTAAAAGAGTTAAACTTTCAGAGATTACTTAGTATCTTGAGTTTTCTCATTCATTCAACCAATTAGATATATATATATATATAATCAGTATAAATATATACTATAAATATATATGTATATCTATATATCAGTCTCCAAAGCAGTCTGCCTGTGATCACCAATGTACACTGCCAAGCAGAAGAGTCAGACAGATCTGGGTTCTTGACCTGTCTGTCTCAAGTTCATCTCCCCTTTTCAGCCATTTCAACAGACTACTTGTTGGAGCTCTGACATGACATTTTGTTTTTTTATATAGGTGCGTCTTTTAAAAATAGTTCATGTTTGGAGAATTCTTTTGTACTCATTTGCTTTTTGTCCAAGAACCATGTCTATTTTTATAACTTGAGTGTGAGTTCTATATATTCTCACATTCTGTATACTGTATCCATTTTCTAGGGAACGCAGTAGCTTTTATACAGGCTCTCTTCTTCTTACCAGCCCTTGTGGTTTCAGAACAAGCTTTATTTTATTACAGGTATACTAATGACAACTCCTGTTCCAGTTCTACCAGCCATTTCAGTTGTGGAGTTAGTTTTACAGAACCTCTCGATGGCTCCTTTGTCTGACAGAAGGAACTCAGAAGACACCTGATGTCTTTCATATAAGTTTACTTGGTTTCCTCCTACTGAAGAATGATTTCTCATCAGAAATGACTGGGACAATTTGGGAAAGTCAGTTAAAAGCAAGAATAATTCATTACAAAAGCAGACAGAAGAAAACAGTATATTTGCCTTTTTTTTTTTTGCCCCCCAGGAAGTCTGGAGGAAAAGTCCTCCTGTCACCAGTTTCTTTGTTGCATGAATTCTAGTGTTTTGCTGTAAGACAGCATGAGGGTTATCAGACTAAAATTTGTTATTGTATTTTCAGTACAATTTATCTTGACTGTTAAATCAGTTTTACTTGTCAGTATTCTTTCAGCAAACATTCTTACTATTATGTCAATTTAAATTTTCAGAGGAAATTAAATCAGAGAAAATTTTCAGAGTCTTTTACCTTCTTTGTCTTTTATCTCTGTGTCCTTTGGAAAAGGAGCTGCGTGGCCCTGGTGCCTCCATAGAAAGCTTCAGTTGATTTCATAGCTCATTAACCTCAGAGACCATGGGTAATAACGAAGCACCCCCATTACAGGATGGCACGCCAGTATGTTTTTGTAAAATGTGTTGGTAATCCTCATTCCAGTTTTTAAACAGAGGAGCCTTCTAGGAGGAGTGTGCACTGATTCATTCTGGTTTGAACTGTCTCCTATTTGATATATAGGAGAGCTTTTGACTTAAAGAGTATTGCCCCCTGCTGGCATTTGTGTTGGGACAGTCCATCCTGCTACTGGTGAAGTTCTTTCTTTGAGAAAACTCAAGAACTAGAAATGTTTAGAGCTCATGAAATAATCTCTAAACCCAATTAAAAAAATGACCCTGTCATAAAAACTAATAAAAAGTTCAATTCCTTAAACAGTCTTCATTTAAAAACTGAAGACCATTCTCACTGTTAACTAAAGTAGCTGGAACTGGAAAATTTTACAATTTCGACCTAAAGAATTTAGGTTAAATTTACTTGGTACTGAAATGGCAATCCTACCAACTGACCCAAAGTCTCAGCCCTTTTTGACCAGGACGGTTGTACATTAAGGAAGATATCTTTATGCCCTATATTCAATCCAAGAGGACTCTAATTACTTAAAACATTTAGATCATAATTATAAAAATTTTCATTTTTCCCATAAAATAAGCATTATGATTGCACACTTCTTCTATTGTCTGAATTTATGTAAGAGGGTATAGCTTGCTTAAAATATATATGTAAAGTTATATTTTCTTAGAAACATGGATGTTTGCAACCATTGCTTTTGAAAAGATTACTATCATGTATTGTTTTACGTTTTCATAAAGATTGTGTTATACCAGAGGCTTCTGATTATCAAAGTGATAACCAGTTTTAACTGCCTGTATGTACCAGATTTGTGAACTAGTTTTAAAAAAAAAAGCAGAAACAAACTATGAATAAAATGGAGTTTGCAAACTAAATACCATTCATAATTTTCACTTGTGTTTATTATCAACTGAAATTAATCAAGAAAGCCATTCACATTTAGTGAAAGTAAATTTCCTCAAGTGATCTCCTTGGTAGCATGTTTACTCATTACTTGGGGAGTGGAGATAGGATTACTTTATTGCTGCAGATATTACTACTGGTATTTCTAGTGTAAGTGCAAAATAGGTTATACAATCAAAGAGAATTAATTTATTTAGCACTTCTTTTGACATTTTATGTAAATATGCAAACAAGTAAGAACCCAAGACTCTAAATATAACAAAACAGTTTCCAGTGCAAAAGCAAAAAACACAGGCTTTCAGAAATGTATAAAATAAAAGAACCAGAACTTCCAAATTAATTTGAAAGCTGCTCTCCTAAAACTTAGCCTTTATTTATTATTTTAAAGGTTTTATATATCTAAAGTTTTATCCCTGGGTGCATTCATTTGCCTTCCAATTACATCATTTTCAACTATTAATCACAAGCCATTTTAATCGGGTTACTCCATCATTATGTTAAATATGTAAAGAACTTGCACTGCCAACTAATTCCTCTTTACATCTCACCCATTCTATATCAGTAATATTCTACAAGTCTCAGGGGGCTTATTTGAGAAACCTAATTATTCCCAGCTTACCTCTGAGGTAAACTAACCACTCCTGGACTGTTTCACCCATGCCCTCCCATGATTTAGCTACACCTGTCAAAAGTATATTCAAAATGTGAACTTGCTATGCAAAGAAAAATGAAAAAATTTTAAGTAAAAATTTAAGCTTAAGTAAGACTACCTAAGTAACTGAACAACAAACTGAAGATCATCTCATACAAAGGCTAACTTAAAGTAATTTAGAACCAGTTATTAAATTCAGAGTGGAAATACTGTAGTAAGGTATCTTAGCCAATTCAAAATTGTTAAAACATTTAAATAATTTATAGTCTAAGCCCTTTCACTAATCACAATTATTCTTCCATTATTTCTTCCAATTGCTATTCATAAGTAGTTTTACATAATTGTTAACAATATAATTGCTCCACTTTTAATATTATTTCAAGTATGCCTTTCCATTTAATCTGGGAATTCTGTTTCTCAGTTGTACTCCCTGCATATTATTGTTAGACAGCTGTATTTGTTTAATCTTTTCCTCATTTTTGGATAGTTAGATTTTTCCAATTCTTTTTGTTATATAGTAAAAAAAATTTTTTTAACTTAAAGTTTCAAATTTAGGTATGAAATAGTGCCTTCTAGCTGCCTTATTTTTCCAAACGTTTAATTACCTGCAAAGTTGAACCTGTTTTCAAATGTTGGTTTTCTTATGTTCTTGATGTTCTCTGACCATCTGTATATTGGGGACTTACGAGATGTAAATACAGCACGCGTTTCCTTCTAGTCTAATGCCACCCTCAGCTCCGAAATGAGATTATTTTCCAATTATAGGATGATAACCCGGCAGTAGAAGTGTAACAAATATAACTGGAAAGGATTCTACGGCAAATTAAAATCGGAAATCTGTTTTGTAAGCTTTTTTTCTTCAGAGTAGATGCTTAATCCTGCTATAGCACTCTTAAATGTGGGGATATAGCTTCCATTCAGCTGCCCTTCACACCATTTGACTGGAAAACCTATTCATCCCGTTTCCTGTTGGGCTACAAACCTGAACTTGAATCTTTATCACCCAGTACAGCCTGCGCGGAGCGAGACCCCAAACCTGGGGGCCACAGGGTGTGCTGAGGCTGGGGGCGAGCAGAGATGCCCCCGCGGACGGCCCTCGGCCGCAGGCTCCCGGTGCCCGGCTGGGCCTGGAGCCCCCTCCCATCCTTCCTCAGGGCGGGGCCACGCCCCTCAGCCCACCTCTGACCACTTCACCTCCCGCAGTCCCGCTCTCGCCGCCTTTTTAGGGCCCTCCCTTTCGACCGCGCCCGTCACGGCGCTCAGGTCCTGTCCCCCCGCCCCAGGGAAGGCTTCGCCACCGAGCCCACCACCTTCCACTCCTCCCCACGCCTAATCCTCCCAGATTCGGCCTGCTGGAATGCCCCTGCCCCTCGTCGCTCTATAGTAGCCGCCCCGACCCGCACTGGGTCACCCTAAGCCCCTCATTTCGCGGAGGAAGACCCGACGTTCACCGCTTCTCCGGTCCGCGGAGCGGGTGGGGCGAGGCTTCGCAGCCCATTTTACGACAACTTGCGGCCGCGCGGCGCGGCTGACGGCAACGCCGCGCTGCTCTTGGAGAGGTCACTCCGGAGACGGCGTTGGTTTTGGGGTGTGGGGTCCGAGGCACTATGTGGCGCGTCTGTGCGCGACGGGCTCAGAATGCAGCCCCCCGGGCGGGATTCGGGGCTCGGTGGACGGCCTTTCGGGAGGAGCCGGGAGCTCCGTGCGTGACCCCGCAGGCTGACTTGGCTCTGGCTCGCTGCAGCAGCAAGACCCCAGGGTATGGCAGGGTCCGGGCACTCTGCGGCTGGAGCCCCGTCTCTTGGGCCACACCGCGGAATCGCGTCTTGTTGCAGCTCTGGGGATCGCCTAGCCGCCGCTGGTATAGCCTCCCCCCGCATCAGAAGGTAAGCCCCGGAACCTGTCCTTCGCGGGATCCCGTTGTCCTTCACGGCAGCCTTGTTGGCTTGGGATCCTTCCTTAGAGGCCTTGGTGATCCTCAGCCTCTGCCCCCCTCCAGGTATACTCTGTCAGTGTCCCTTCTCCATTACCCAGCTTTGCTCTAGCTCTTGAACTTCCCTCTCCTGACCTATTCCATTGAAGAAGGAGCTGCAGGCTTGCTTCTCCTGACCGGTTCCATTCAAAGAAGAGCGCCAAGCCTAGGACGGTCTGTGGAATGTCTGCTGAGGACATGCTGTTAGATCCACCCAGTACACTGGAGCGGGAGGCCTGTCCTTCTGGTTGAGAGCTTCTGATGTTAGGAAATCCCTTTATAAGCCCATTGCCCAATGTGTGAAGGGACTCAGACTCAGCGTTAAATTAGTCTGAATTGAACGAAGTGTTACACCAGATTGAGAGTTAGGTAGCTCTTAAAATTGAGTATTTCTCCCTTTTCTCCTCTAGGTTCCATTGCCTTCACTGTCCCCTACAATGCAGGCAGGCACCATAGCCCGCTGGGAAAAGAAGGAAGGAGAAAAAATCAATGAGGGTGAACTAATTGCAGAGGTAAGTTGGAAATGAGTTAGAAGAGACTAGCTTAGCTAAACGGAGCATTAACTATCTGAGTGGGTAATTATCCCTTTTGCCTGGAGAATTATGTGAACAGAGGAGCCTGGTGGGCTGCTGTCCATGGGGTCGCAAAGAGTCGGACACGACTGAAGTGACTTAGCATGCATGCATTAAGAAATTTAGATGTTTTTTACAATTTGATATGAGAGATTGGTTAGCCAAGTTAGCAGCAGCTAACCAAACTGATTTTTAGCCTGAGTATTTTTAATAGGAATTCTTTCAAACCTGTGATAGAGGCTTTATTTTCATTGTTGAACTGTATGATTTTTTTTTATTGCTGTATGATTGATTTATGATGTTGTGTTAAATACTCTTTTCCATTATGGTTTATCACAGATGCCAAATGTAGTTCCCTGTGCTATATAGTAGGACCATGTGGCTATCCATTCAATATGTAATAGTTTGCATCTGCAAACCCCAAAATCTTATCCTGTTCCATCCCTGCCCCACCCCCCAATCACAAGTCTATTCTCTGTGAGTTCATTTCTATTTCGTAGATAAGTTCATTTGTACCATTTTAGATTTCACATATTTTTCTTTTTCTGACTTACTTCACTTTGAACTGTGTGATTTTAGACACAAGTTAATAAACTTCATACTGGCAGCAGAAGCCTAAGCTCCTGCTTTTGTGTTAAAAGGTTGAAACTGATAAAGCTACTGTTGGATTTGAGAGTGTGGAGGAATGTTACATGGCAAAGATCCTTGTTGCTGAAGGTACCAGAGATGTTCCAGTTGGAGCAATCATCTGTATCACAGTTGAAAAGTGAGTAGTACCGGGGGAATCTGTGAAAGTCAGGTGCTCAAGTGGAGTATTTTAGCCCAGAACTGAGGAGTTAGTTAAAGCCTTCTAAGGCTGATAAATCCGCTTTATAACCCCCTTATACTTACGCATTCTTTCTTTTCCTTAGGCCTGAAGATGTTGAAGCCTTTAAAAATTTCACACTGGATTCTTCAGCAGCACCTGCCCCACAAGCAGCCCCGGCACCAGCCCCTGCCGCTGCCGCTCCGTCACCTGCACCTTCTGCTCAGGCTCCTGGTAGCTCGTATCCTACTCACATGCAGGTGAGCCTCAGCCTCTGGGTGTCTGCTCTAGAAAATTTATTATTTATTCATTATTTTCCAAAGATGAGTCGCATCCTGGAAACTGGCATTAAACCTGGCTAGTTTTTGTCATCTGAAAGTAAACAGATTTCAATATGAAAATTGACAACATTTATTTTTAATGGTTATTTCCAGATGTGTGTGCTTGGAGAGTTCTTTTAATCTTTTTTTTGCCTCAGTGTAGGATAATGTTTGGTACTTTTCATTCAAGAATATCATGTCGGATTTTGAGGATTATTTGTACTTATATCTGTACTTTGCTAAGTCGCTTCAGTCGTGTCCGATTCTGCGACGCTATGGACTGTAGCCCATCAGGCTCCTCTGTCCATGGGATTCTCCAGGCAGGAGTACTGGAATGGGTAGCCATGTCCTCCTCCAGGGGATCTTTCCAACCCAGGGATCCAACCTGTGTCTCTTATGTCTCCTGCATTGGCAGGCAGGTTCTTTACCACTAGCACCACCTGGGAAACCCACTTATATCTATTCCTTGTATAAATAGAGTTGTTTTTTTTTTTTTAGTAGGCACCAAGTGCTATCTATTGAATAAAAGCCCCCAATTAGTGTTTTTCCTTGACATGTGGTGTTCTGTTTTCTCAGAGTAAGTGAAATAATCCAGTAGTATTTAGAAAAGACTAACAATAAAGAATCGGAGAAGGCAATGGCACCCCACTCCAGTACTCTTGCCTGGAAAATCCCATGGATGGAGGAGCCTGGTAGGCTGCAGTCCATGGGGTCGCTAAGAGTCGGACACGACTGAGCGACTTCACTTTCATGCATTGGAGAAGGAAATGGCAACCCACTCCAGTATTCTTGCCTGGAGAATCCCAGGGACGGGGGAGCCTGGTGGGCTACTGTCTGTGGGGTTGCACAGAGTTGGACAAGACTGAAGTGACTTAGCAGCAACAATAAAGAATAAGTGTCAAATAGATATATATAATGTGGAAGAGGGCATGGTAATCTACTCCAATATTACTCCCTGGAGAATCCCCATGGACAGAGGGACATGGAGGGCTACAGTCCATGGGGTCTCAAAGAGTCAGACACGACTGAGCAATTCAGCACAGACATGTATAACAGCATTACAGCAAAGCTGAAGGTGGTAAATACTGTTGATTCTGTTAACTAAATCAGTTTCTAAGAAACTGATTAGTTATTAGGATTATCCCATGTATATTTGTGTGTTTTGGATATTGGAAATGGATAAAAGCCAGCTGCGTTTTTTTCCTAAAGGATTAAGAATAGAACTTTTCCTTCTCTTAGTTTATTTGTAGAGATTTTTGTATAGGAATAATTTTCTTCTTTGGGCATCATGTTCTATTTCCTGGTCTTTTATTAACATTCACTCATGATGAAATTTTTCCTGGTGGTCAGTTCACAGATCTATTCCATCCTATTCAGCAATTTTTTTTTTTTTTTTAATTAAAAAAAAGTTACAAAAATTTTTTTTGGCTGGGCTGGGTTTTCATTGCCGTGAGAAGGCTTTCTCTAATTGCGGTGAGCGGGGGCTGGTCTCTTGTTGCGGTGCTTGGACTTCTCGCTGTGATGACCTCTCGTTGCAGAGCATGAGCTCTGGGTACATGAGCTTCAGTAGCTGCCCCTCGAGGGCTCTAGGGCATGGGCTCAGTCATTGTGGCACATGGGATTCGTTGCCCCAAGGCATGTGGGGTCTTCTCAGACCAGGGATCAAAGCCGTGTCCTCTGAATTGGCAGGCCAATTCCTAACCGTTGGACCACCAGGGAAGGTCAAGAGTTCTAAGTTTTGTTTTACTTTTTCCCCCCACAGCTTCCTGAGACATCATCGAATAAAATGATTTTTTCTCTCAGCATAATTCTTATGTTAATTAGATGCAAAAGACTCAGAAGATAGCAAACAAAACCCATAACTGAGTGAGCATCCAAATTCAGTGAATGTATAAGCCATATAAATAGGGAAGCAGTCTTTAATTTAGATTAGCTAATCTGTTGTTTTAGATTTTACTTGGGTGGAAGTGACTATTGTTAAGAACAGGTTTTTGTTGTTGTTTTGGGTTTTTTTTTTCAGCCATGCCATATGGCATTCAGGATCTTAGTTCCCCATACAGGGATTAACCTGTGCCCTGCTGCATTGGGAGCACAGAGTCTAAATCACTGGGCCACCAGGGATGTCCCAAACAATTTTTGATATTAGTTTTTTATCTTGAAAAAGTTCCTGGCAGGGACTTCCCTAATGGTCCACTGGTTAAGAATCTGCCTGCAGGGGTCACAGGTTCAATCCCTGGTCTGGGAGGATGCTCACATGCTGAAGAGCAACTGAATGCAAGTGCCACAACTCCTGAGCTTGTGCTCTCGAAGCCACCAGCCCCAACTACTGAGCCTGCGTGCCTTGAGCCCATGCTCTGCAACAAGAGGAACCTCTCCGATGGGAAGCCTGTGCACCGTAGCTGGAGCATAGCACCTGCTCACTGCAACTAGAGAAAGCCCGTGTACAGCAATGAAGACCCCGTTCAGCCAAAAATAAATAATTAAAAATTTAAAAAGGTATCCAGGGAGTTTGGGAGAAATTCAGTCTCCTCTGAATGAAAAGGTAGATTTCAATAAAGCACACAGTAAAATTTTAGTGGAAAAATCTGGACTGAGGTCATTCTATGAAGAGGAAAAGCCTCTAGCTTAATTTAAGTATTAAGAAAGATGAAAAGATGTTCTGTGTTTAGATATTGTTGAGGAATTAATTTTAGCCATCTAGAAAGAAATCTTTCCCCTCTGCCCATGGTTTTTAACTTTGGAGGGTGGGTCAGAGTATCATTGGCACTATAAAAGCTTGAGCTTTGAAGGATTTACCTGTAGGGACACTACTGAGGCACGAGGCTTTTGCTGCTGTGGGTGCAGCAGGCAGATGGGAATTTGGATTGTCATAGTTGCTGTCATTCCATAAAACTATTTGTTTGCCTGAGTGCCATTGTGTCAGAAGCTTCCTGGTGTTGAGTAATAATAAAATGTGTTTGTTTCTACAGGTGGTTCTTCCTGCCCTCTCTCCCACCATGACCATGGGCACAGTTCAGAGATGGGAAAAAAAAGTGGGTGAGAAGCTAAATGAAGGAGATTTATTGGCAGAGATAGAGACTGACAAGGCCACTATAGGTGAGATTTCTTCAGCTCTTAATGGTTGAGACACTGAGTTTTCCAGTGAGGGAAGAGGATTGCCATCCTATCCTATAATGAGTGAGCGATAACATGAAAAATTTTAATTCTTGGGATTAATTTCCTGGTACAGAGTATTTTCATAAACAGAAGTGTTGCATAGCTGGATCTGTCGGTTCCATACTACACTCTCATTGAATCAAGCATGTATCAGCTTGGAGATAATTTTTAGGCCAGAGTTTGCTTATTAAGCCTTATGTTACCGAGAAGCTGTATCCAAACTGACATTCTTCACACTGGGCAAGGGGAAAAAAAGAGGAAATAGAAAATAGCATCAAAGGCAGGAAAATCCTGAAGAAATTCAGATGACTTTGAGGGAAAACTTGAAAGTAGGGTTTAGATTGTTTTTGTATATGAGAATGACTGATGAAATGTATATATTATCTGTTCAGATACCATATCACATTTCCTTTTATTGACTATCTGATTTATTTTTATGCTCAGAAAAAAAAAAACCTGTAGACAATTAATATTTGCCATACTGTATCTGGATATCTGTAGATAAGTATATATTTTTTCTGTCCAGTCCTCAAAGATGCAGTAGGAGCTTCTGGGCATCCTCTGCAGCGGTCTTTTTCAGATTTTGTCCTTCACACCTCATGATTCCTTGAAAGCGCCTTGGGGTAAAGGAGACTTAGAGAGCCGGACTCTACTGTTCCTTGCTCCCCTCCTTCACTTATGACTCTGTTTTATCTTTTAGCATATAGTGCTTCCCCCCATAAAATTTTATTAGAGGAAAGCGTTCTTGTTTGTTTGTTTTTTGGCTGCCCGGGTCTTTGTTGCAGAGCTCAGGCTTGTTTCAGAGTATGGACTCTAGAGCTCACGGGCTCAGCAGTTGCAGTGGCAGGCTTAGTTGCTCTGTGGCATGTGGGATCTTAGTTTCCTGATTGGAGATCGAGCCCATGTCCCCTGCTTTGGAAGACAGATTGTTAACCACTGGACCACCAGGGAAGTCCCTATTCTGTTTGTTAAAAAGGTTGTTAAGAAGAAAGAAACAGAAAAGCCCTGGCAAAGATAGATCTGCTTTGCATTTTAACTTGATTACCTGTGTTGCTGTGGAGAGTGGTATTCTAGAAACTGGTCACTGGAGAAGTATTAACCTTGGTCAAACTCTAAACTCTGTAGGGGCCTTGGAGCCTTTTCTTTTGATAAGTCTTGTATTGGATTTTAATTCTCAGCTGGGAAATAAAAGGATTCATCAAAGATGTGTTGGTCAGGGAGAGGCACATCCCAACAGGAAGCGAAGGTCTAGAAGGCAAAAGATGTCCTCTGCTGTGGCTCCTTCTAGTTTTACTTTTGGAATCCTTCGTATTTGAGTTCCTTATTAAAAAAAAGCAGTAGCTGGGAATTCCCTGGTGGTCCAGTGGTTCCCTGCCGAGGGCCCGGGGTTCAATCCCTTGTGGGGAAACTGAGATCCCACAAGCTACATGGTGCAGCCAGAGGGAAAAGCAGTCGCTGAGTAAAGCTGTCAACACCACTGGCTCTCTAGTAATGCTGTGTTTCTTCATACTGAAATGGTTGGTGTAATACCAAGTATGCCCTCTTCAAAAAAGTTCCAAAGATGCAGCACTATCAACTGTAGTAGCTCTTCTAATTTAACAACCATGTGGTTCTGTTCTTGAGCAGTACAACTGATGCCATCTTGGGAGACTTGTGGGTCTGCATAGGGCTGCCCTTGGAGATGTTTTAAAGAAAACATTCAGAACTAACCACTATGTAACCTCTTGGGGTTTTACTTAACAAATATTTATTAGTATTTACTTTGTGAAGTGAAGTTGCTCGGTCATGTCTGACTCGTTGCGACCTCATGGACTGTAGCCTACCAGGCTCTTCTGTCCATGGGATTTTCCAGGCAAGAGTTCTGGAGTGGTTTACCATTTCCTTCTTCAGGGGATCTTCCATCCCAGGGATCGAACCTGGATCTCCCGCATTGTAGGCAGATGCTTTACTGTCTGAGCCACCAGTAGGTACTATTTCCAAGTGTTTGGAAGATATTAATTCACTTAACTTTTGTAATAGCCCTGTGAGGTAGGTACTGTTGTTCCCATTTTGTAGGTAAAGAGGCTGAGACACAGGTTAAATAGCTCCAAAAGGTTATATAGCTACTTTGAAGAACCTTTTACTTGAAAACTCTGCTTTGAATTTGGTAGGCTAGTAAAGGCCTTTAAGTTCCACAGTGGTTTTTTCTTTCCATTTAAGGTTTTGAAGTACAGGAGGAAGGTTACCTCGCAAAAATCCTGATCCCAGAAGGCACACGCGATGTCCCTCTAGGGGCCCCGCTCTGTATCATTGTAGAGAGAGAGGCAGATATACCCGCGTTTGCTGACTACCAGCCCGCCGAAGTAACTGATTTAAAACCACCGGCACCACCACCTATCCCATCTCCGGTAGGTATGCTTCTAGAATTGAGGGAACGCTTACCTTATTCATCTCAAAATTAAGGGGTGATATTCTGGGTTCCTTCCAGTGCTAAGAGTCTGTGACTCAGGAAGGAGATAGTTAACATTTATGGAGGTTTACAAGGTGCATAGGACTGCACTGTTCACATACTGGTCAATAGTTTGATTCTTGTAATTTTTTTTTTTCCTGCTTTCTTGAGTCTTGTTGAGAACAAAGCTGAGGTGACTTGTTCTTTTTATGCTTTAGGTGTAGATACACATATGGAAGGTAATGCTTTGTCACCCATTTTCTATAGAATTTGTAGTTTTTGTCAGTCCTCTTGGTATTCACATATTATAGTAGGTCAAGGTTATATTTGTAACATATGGGAATCTTGACATAAATGGCTTATTTTGCATAGAATTTAGTCTTTTGTTATATACTATATACCAGGGTTTCCCTCGTAGCTCAGTCAATAAAGAATCGGCCTGCAATGCAGGAGACCTGGGTTTGATTCCTGACTCAGAAAGATCCCCTGGAGAAGGAAATGGCAACCCATTTCAGTATTCTTGCCTGGAGAATCCCATGGACAGAGGAGTCTGACAGGCTACAGTCCATGGGGTCTCAAGGGTCGGACATGACTTAGTGACTAAACCACCACCATATGCTATATACCTATAACATGAACTCATGAATTCCAGGCAGAAATAACACTATAAGGCTTCTGCAGGTGTAGAAACATGTGAGTTTAGACTAGGTACACAGTTCTGTCAGAGAAAACTTTGATTTCTGACTTCCATACATTTATGGGGAGCTGGCAAGTAGTAGTATTGGCTTATTTTTTTAATGTGTTTTCAACATGGAACCTTCCAGAATAATTTATTATTTTGGAAGTAGGTTAAGTAAAAACCATGTAGATGATATAAGAGAATGAGAATAAAAAAGGGACAAGAAAATAGAGACAAGAGATTAAAGTGAAGAAAGGCTATAAGGATGTTATATACTGGTCACCAGAATTAAATTCAGTGCCTCTCTGTATTAATCATGGACTTAGAGAACTTGACTTTGTTCTGTCTTTGTTAAAATAATGTTATTGTATTCATATTGCTGTATTATGTTGGTTAAGCAAGAAAAATGAGCATTTGACCTTTGGAAAAAAGATGAAAGTTATATTATTAAAATAGGTTTGACTTAATAAACTATAAGCTCTTAATCTTTCAGGTCAGTCTTTGCAGTGGTGAATTAACAATTTGTAACTTTTTTCAAAAGGCAGCCCCTGTTCCTCCAATGCCCCAACCTGTAGCCCCTCCACCTTCAGCCCCCCGGCCAGTTGCTCCAGCTGGACCAAAGGGAAGAGTGTTCGCCAGCCCACTTGCAAAGAAGTTGGCAGCAGAGAAAGGGATTGACCTTACACAAGTAAAAGGTATGTCTGTTTCTATGGAATGGAGTTTTACTAAAATTGAGTTTCCTCCTTATGACCCGAGAGTACAACTGCAACTATTAATATATAGAGCTGTCTTATCTGGAAAAGTAGGGAGAAGGATGAGGGAGGGAACTAGCAGAGTAGGAAAACTTATTGTGCTTTACTTGGTCTGTCTAAGATCTACCTGTATAATTTAGATAGCTTTTTTCATTTTCTGTTAATGGGAACTGCTTAATTGTTGGTGAAAATATGATGTGTTCAGCAAAGTTGGGTTATAGTACTTGATTATGTAATAAGAAATCTGTATTAGTGCTAGGCTGAGTGAATGTAGCAATACTCAAAACACAACATGAAGTTGGGATGATTTGAAATGACTTAAAATAATAAAATTCATATAAAACTGAACTAACACCTATTGAGGGCAAAGGAAAATGTCTTACTCATCTTTTCCTTCCCAAAGAGAACGTGTAGCTTAGTGATGAGAGCATGGGCTCTTGAATCAGACCATCTAGGGTTTAATCCTGGCTTTATCACTTTCTATGTAAAATGTCTTTTGATGAATTACTTTATCTGTTTTTCCATCTGTAAAACTGAGATAATAGTTTCCAATAAAATAAGTGAAGGGCTTAGAACAGTATCTAGAATATAGTATACTCCATACATATTAATTTTGTTCACATTATTATTATTGGCTGGCATTTAAATGTTTTAAGCTAAAGTTTAATGTAAGGTAGTTAATATACTTTAGAAAGGGGTGGGAGGAGTTACTATTCCTGGAGCTTGGTTCTATGGCTAGTACTCTGTGCCAGTCATTTAATTACCAGGCTTAATTTGCATAACACTTGAACTTTGGATAGGAAAATAGACTCTTGAAAGATCTCTTATTCTGTTAAGCAATGAAGTTGCAATTCGAATCTAGATTTGTTTCATTTTAGAATCTGTATTTTTCCCATTACCCTATACTTCCTTCTGTTTTGATGTTCTGCCATCTTTAATTATTCAAAATAATGGCTACTTCTCCAGTTATCCAGCTATGAGCAAACATCATTGGTTATCACTGTCTGGAGCCTGTTGTTTTTATGGTTTGAAAGCAAGCCAGTTGCCAAAGATATGGGGACAGAAGTTATCACTGTTTTACCTCAGAGAATTCTTGTGAAAAGATCCTTTTTTCCATCTTAATGTCGTTTCACTAACATATTGCCGTTCTTCATGTATGTATGATTAGGGATAGCAATTTAAGTTGGAAAACATTTTTAAGGGGAGGAAGGACTGGGTTAATAATTATATCTGAAGAATTTAAACAAGTAAATGAGGACCATTTGTTGGATATTGAGTGATACTTGCTGTCTTAGGAAATATTTATGTGGAAAAAAATCTCAGTATTCTTATGCAGTTAGAGTTAAGTGATTCATTTATTTAAACAAATATTCATTGAGTACTGTCTGTGCATCCTTTTGAAAAAAGTTACAAATTGTTCATGGGACAGACAATAAAGAAGTGAATGGAGGGGGATTATAACACAGTAGTTACGAGTATTGGCTTTAGAGCTGGAATGCTTAGATTTAAACCCCAGCTCTGTCGAACACTAGGTGTGTTCCCTTTGCTGTCTCAGTTTCTTTATTTGTATATAGAAATAAAACTTTATAGCTTGTTGGGATTAAATACATTAGTAACAGTGCCTGTATGTAGGAAGCACATATAGGTAATTAATTAGCTATGGTGGTAATAATAGCTTATTAAATAATATGATTTGAATGCTAACAAAAAAGTAAACCAAGTGTTATGCTGGTGAGTAACAAACAGGGGACCTCTGTGTCATGGGTTTCCCGGGTGGCACAGTGGTAAAGAGTTTGCCTGCCAGTACAGGAGACACGGATTCGATCCTTGGGTCAGGATGGTCTCCTGGAATAGGAAATGGCAGCCCACTCCAGGATTCTTGCTTGCACAGTTTCATGGCCAGAGGATCCCAACAATCCATGGGGTCACAAGGAGTCAGACACGACTGAGCGACTCAGCACAGCACACGCATGCATGCATGACCACTTTTGGACAGGATGGTTGGGGAAGATCTTTTTGACGAGGTGAAATTTGATCTGATCTGAAAGATGAGGAGGAGTCAGCTATGAGCCAACCATGTGAAGAACCACAGGAGAAGCATTCTGGGCAAAGACCAGCCTGAAGGGGAGAGAGTTTGGTGTGTTTGAGGCAAAGAAAGGAAGCCAGTGTTAATGGAGCATAGTGAGCAAAGTGGTAGGGAATGAGGACAGAAAGAAACTCAGGGGTAAGAACATAAAAGACTTTACAGGTTATGATGGAGTTTGAATTTTATTTCAAGTAGAGCAGGAAGCCATTGAAAGATTAAAATGAAGAAGTGGCATAAAATCATTTATATTTTTAAAAGATTGTTTTGGCTGCTCTGTGCAAATGGATTAAATGAAAGCAAAAGTGTCTGTTAAGATGTTGCTGGAGTCGGTGGTTTACACAAAGGTGATGAGAATAGAAATGGAAAGAAATGGGCAGCATCAACATAACGTTTGTGGCAGAATCAACAGAACTTAGTCAAGGATTGGATATGAGGACTCAACAATAGCGACTTCAAAACATACATGCAGTGACAGTTTAGACAGGATGAAAAGTGAAAAGTGAATGAAAAAGTGGAGATAGCATTGTTGACAACTTAGTCAAGAGCTTTTGCTGTGAAGGAAGGCACAGAAATAGAAATGTACCTTTTGGGAGGATATGGGCTCAAGAAAGGGCTTTAAAAAATGAGTGGTGGTAGAACAGGCCTAGTGTAGTTTCTCAGCTGTGGCACTGCTGACATTTTTGACCAGATAATTCTTTGTTTGTGGGCTTCTCTGGTAGCAAACCACTTCAGTATTCTTGCTTTGAGAACCCTGTGAACAGTATGAAAAGGCAAAAAGATAGGACCCTGAAAGATGAACTTTCCAGGTCTGTAGGTGCCCAGTATGCTACTGGAGATCAGTGGAGACCTAACTCCAGGAAGAATGAGGTGATAGAGCTAAAGCAAAAACAACGCCCAGCTGTGGATGTGACAGGTGATGGAAGTAAAGTCCGATGCTGTAAAGAGCAATATTGCATAGGAACCTGGAATATTAGGTCTGTGAATCAAGGCAAATTGGAGGTGGTCAAACAGGAGATGGCAAGAGTGAACACTGACATTTTAGGAATCAGCAAACTAAAATGGACTGGAATGGATGAATTTAACTCAGATGACCATTATATCTACTACTGTGGGCAAAAATCCCTTAGAGGAGATGGAGTAGCCATCATAGTCAACAAAACAGTTCAAAATGCAGTACTTGGATGCAATCTCAAAAATGACAGAATGATCTCTGTTCGTTTCCAAAGCAAACCATTCAATATCACAGTATCCAAGTCTGTGCCCCAACCAATAATGCTGAAGAAGCTGCAGTTGAACAATTCTATGAAGACCTACAAACCTTCTAGAACTAACACCCAAAACAGATGTCCTTTTCTTTATAGGGGACTGGAATGCAAAAGTGGGAAGTCAAGAAATACCTGGAGTAATGGGCAAATTTGGCCTTGGAGTATGGAATGAAGCAGGGCAAAGGCTAATAGAGTTTTGCCAAGAGAATGCACTGGTCATAGCAAACACCCTCTTGCAACAGCACAAGAGAAGACCCTACAAATCGATACCACCGGATGGTCAATACCAAAATCAGATTGATTATATTCTTTGCAGGCAAAGATGGAGAAGCTCTATACAATCAGAAAAAACAAGACCAGGAGCTGACTATGGCTCAGATCATGAACTCCTTATTGCCAAATTCAGACTTAAATTGAAGAAAGTAGGGAAAACCACTAGACCATTCAGGTATGACCTAAATCAAATCCCTTATACCTATACAGTGGAAATGACAAATAGATTCAAGGGATTAGATCTGATAGACAGAGTGCCTGAGGAACTATAGATGGAGGTTTGTGACATTGTACAGCAGGCATTGATCAAGACCATCCCCAAGAAAAAGAAATGCAAAAAGGCAAAATGGTTGTCTGAGGAGGCCTTACAAACAGCTATGATAAGAAGAGAAGTGGAAAGCAAAGAAAAAAAGGAAAGATATACCCATCTGAATGCAGAGTTCCAAAGAATAGCAAGGAGAGATAAGAAAGCCTTCCTCAGTGATCAGTGCAGAGAAACAGAGGAAAACAATAGAATGGGAAAGACTAGAGATCTCTTCAAAATTAGAGATACCAAGGGAACTTTTCATGCAAAGATGGGCACAATAGAGAATAGAAATGGTGTGGACCTAACAGAAGCAAACGATATTAAGAAGAGGTGGCACGAATACACAGAACCATACAAAAAAGATCTTCATGACCCAGATAACCATGATGGTATAATCACTCACCTAGAGCCAGACATCCTGGAATGTGAAGTCAAGTCGGCCTTAGGAAGCGTTGCTATGAACAAAGCTAGTGGAGGTGATGGAAATCCAGTTGAGCTATTTTAAATCCTAAAAGATGATGCGGTGAGAGTGCTGCACTCAATATGCCAGCAAATTTGGAAAACTGAGCAGTGGCTACAAGACTGGAAAAGGTCATTTTCATTCCAATCCCAAAGAAAGGCAGTCCCATAGAATGCTCAAACTACTGCACAACTGCACTCACTTCACACGCTAGTAAAGTAATGCTCAAAATTCTCCAAGCCAGGCTTCAACAGTATGTGAACCATGAACTTCCAGATGTTCAAGCTGGATTTAGAAAAGGTAGAGGAACCAGAGATCAAATTGCCAACATCTTTTGGATCACAGAAAAAGCAAGAGAGTTCCAGAAAAACATCTACTTCTGCTTTATTGACTGTGCCAAAGCCTTTGACTGTGGATCACAACAAACTGTGGAAAATTCTGAAAGAGATGGGATTACCAGACCACCTGACCTGCCTCCTGAGAAATCTGTATGCAGGTCAGGAAGCAACAGTTAGAACCGGACATGGATCAACAGACTGGCTGCATATCAGTACAGGAGTACGTCAGGGCTGTATATTATCACCCTGCTTATTTAATTGGTATGCAGAGTACATCATGCGAAATGTTGGACTGGATGAAGGACAAGCTGGAATCAAGATTGCTGGGAGAAATATCAATAACCTCAGATACACAGATGACACTACCCTTATGGCAGAAAGTGAAGAACTAAAGAGCGTCTTCTTGATGAAAGTGAAAGAAGAGAGTGAGAAGCTGGCTTAAAATTCAACATTCAGAAAACTAAGATCATGGCATCTGGTCCCATCACTTCATGGCAAATAGATGGGGAAATAGTGGAAACAGTGACAGACTTCATTTTTTGGGGCTCCAAAATCACTGCAGGTGGTGACAGCAGCCATGAAATTAAAAGACGCTTGCTTCTTGGAAAAAATGTTATGACCAAACTAGACAGCTTATTAAAAAGCAGAGACAGTACTTGGCCAAGAGAGGTTCATCTAATCAAAGCTATTGTTTTTCCAGTAGTCATGTATGGATGTGAGAGTTGCACTACAAAGAAAGCTGAGCACTGAAGAATTGATGCTTTTGAACTGTGGTATTGGAGGAGACTCTTGAGAGTCCCTTGAACTGCAAGGAGATCCAACCAGTCCATCCTAAAGGAAATCAGTCCTGAATATTCATTGGAAGGACTGATGCTAAAGCTGAAACTCCAATACTTTGGCCACCTGATGCAAAGAACTGACTCATTGGAAAAGATCCTGATTCTGGGAAAGATTGAAGGCAGGAGGAGAAGGGAACGACAGAGGATGAGATGGTTGGATGGCATCACCGACTCAGTGAACATGAGTTTGAGTAAACTCTGGGAGTTGGTGATGGATAGGGAGGCCTGGTGTGCTGTGGTCCATGGGTTCGCAAAGAGTTGGACATGACTGAGTAACTGAACTGAACTGGTGACTCAGTGGTTAAGTATCCACCTGCCAGTGCAGGAGACACGGTTGCAATCCCTGGGTCAGGAAGATCCTCTGGAGAAGGAAATGACAATACACTCTAGTATTCTTACCTGGAAAAACCTATGGACAGAAGAGCCTGGCGTGCTGCAGTTCATCGGGTGGCAGAAGAGTTAGACGTGACTTAGTGACTGAATAACAGTTCTTCTTGGTGGAGTGAGGGTGGGGTTCCTCTGCATTGTAGCATGTTAGTAGCATCCTTGGCTTTACTCGCTACAGGGTAGTAGCATCCCCCACTTGTAACAACTAAAAAACATTTCAAACATTGTCAGATGCCCCCCTGGCAAAACTGCAGAATTGCCTTGTTGAGAACCAATGGTCTAATTGAAAGGGATAAATTGATGATGCAGAATAATTTGGCAAGGAACAAAGTTCTGAGAAAGCAAAAGGGGATGAGATTGCTCTCGGGTAGGTATTAGGACAGTTTGTCTGTTTTTTTGTTTGTTTTTTTTTAGTTTGTCTGTTTTTATTGGAGGGAAGAGGATATGGGGTGGTTTTATAGTTTTGGTGGCAACAGATGAGGATGAACCTCTCTGGTTGCTGCTATTTGTTCAGTAAAATATAAAGTGAGCAAGGAGTTCCCTGGTGGTTTAGTGGGTAGGACTTAGTGCTTTCACTACTGTGGCCCGAGTTCAATCCTTGGTTGGGGAACAGATCCTGCAAGCTGCTCAGCATGGCCAAAAAAGTATCAAATGAGGTGACCTGCTGTAGAGTTAGTGTGGAAAGGTTTGAGGTTAGAGAGACTGTGAAATACTGTTCTCAGAGATTGTGAAAGTGACTTCAGGAGAAACAGTTTATCTTCTGGGTAGTTTTGTGAGTCTGTTTTAGATTTATGTCTCTGATTTATAGTGAGGTCAGTCAGCTAGGTGTGTACTTCCTTCTCCCAGCAATATTAAGCTACTCTGGTGCTGGCACTGAGAAGGCCTGTGTTACAGAGCTTGCCCAGACAGTGATGGTAACAATGATCCATAGCGTGTAGCCTGGGTGAGGAGGACGTGAAGACAGGAGGCTGACAACAGATGATGAGAGTGGAGGAGTCAGTCTTGATGAAGTGGAAGAAATTTTGCAGTGGGTGGAAGGAATGGTTTAAAATAAGTGAGCTGAGAGGATCAGCAGTTAGTGTTTTCTGACACCAAGTCTAACACGTAATGATATTTTTCCAGACCATCAGTCAGTTCTGTGACACCACCCGGGTAACCAACAGTTCAATCCTATTCTGACACTAACTCTCCAGAGTTAGCATCAGACTCCACAGGTTTAAGGGTCCAGTCCCACAAGTTTGCCCTCATTTCAGGGGACAGTTGTGTGTCCTGGGGACCACCCATATTTCTTTACTGTGGGCTATAAACCAGAAATGCCTAAGACCCCCCTCCTCAGGTTTGATAATCATTAGAATGATTCACAGAACTCAGCAAAGCACTTTACTGTTGCCTATTTATTATAAAAGATACAACTCAGGAACAGTCAAATGGGAGAGATGCATAAGAGAGTATGGGTGCTCTGCGGGGAGCACCACCCCCTTGGCTTGTTAATAAGTGCACCAACCCAGAAGCCTTCCAGGTCTGGTTCAGGAGTTTTTATTTTTATAGGGGCGTGGTTGATTGAACCATTGTATGTGTGTGCTCAGTTGCTCAGTCACGTCCGATTCTTTGAGCCCGCCAGGCTCCTCTGTCCATGAAATTTTCCAGGCAAGAATACTGGAGTGGGTTGCCATTTCCTTCTCCAGGGGATCTTCCTGACCATGGGATCGAACCTACATCTCTTGCCTCTCCCTCATTAGCAGGTGGATTCTTTACCACTGCACCACCTGGAAAGCCGGATTGTATCATTGGCCATTGGTTTTGCACTCCATCTCCAATCCTCATCCCTACCCCCTTCCCAAGGGACAGGTTGCTCACTAAATTTGACCAAAATGTGATCATTTTGGGGGAAGTTGTTTTGAAAGTCTAAACCCTGATGTTCAGAGTTTTATTTGTCTCAGAGCTACCCACGTTATGGTTTATATTTCTTTGATGTAGAGCATTTTCACGTCACTGTTCCATTTTATCTTCGTGACAGACCCATCAGCAGGGGCTGGTATGATAATCTATCCTAGATGAGACTAAAGAGCAGATGACATTAAGTGACTGTAGTCATCTGTCTAGTTTATATTTGACAGCAGCCTTACATTTTTCACTCCTACTCTAGTGTTCTTCCCTTTGTACTATACTGCCTTATGATGATCTGTTATGCCTTCCTAGGGAGATAAGCAAAAGAATTTCAAAGATTTCTACCAACTCCTCAGAGGGAGTTCTTATGGGTGGCTGAAGATTAGCATAAGACAGGTGGTTCTGCAGTTTCCTCATCTTGAGGAACGACAGGGCTGAGATCAGCCTTGGCTGCAGGGATGGCTATGGTTTCTGTCCTTTATGAGGAGGGGATCTGATAGGTGTGCTGCCGCCTCTGTTCTGGCTCCTGGTAGGGATACACAGTCTTATCCAACCAGTTTTCATAATGAAGGAGAGGACTTGGGGTGAACTGTCTTCTTTGGAGGAAGATGAATCAATTTGACCAAATTTTTTTAGAAGTGGGCAAGGGTAAAGGGTATTTTAATACTGAATCTCCTTAGAATTAAGATTCAGAATTTTCTACTTAGGTGTAATGTTAAACCTAAGAGGCCATGAATGGGAGGAGGAAACAAACTGAATGAAAGTAAAACTAAGCCTGTTGAGGGAACTCTGAAGATTTTTTCTCATGTGCAACATGATGGCTATTTCCTTCATAATCTCTAACATAAGCCAGTATAGAGCCTTGGCTGCTATGAGAAAGTTGTGAATGATGGAGACAAATATGGATTGAATGAGTCTAAAAGATGAGATCATTGCATCTGAAAGTTATTCATGCTATTTCACGGAAAAAAAATTGATCTGGTTTGTTCAAAATAATTGTTACCATGTCTGTAGAAAGATAGTTCTTTAACATGAAGTGAATGTAGAACCCAAATGAGATCTTTTCAGAGTTAAGAAAGGGTGTTTTGGAGCTAACCAAGAGGAGGTGACCGAAGCTGGTATTTTTTAGAGAAATGTTTAAGGGGCATGATTGAGGCAGTGGCCCCTTCAGAGGGTCTGTGGTAGAGAACCTCTAGGAACTTGTGCTTCCGGATCACAGTGCTGATCTCCTTGAGGAATCAGTGGTTCACTCTCCCGTACATGGTATTTCTGTGTTTCCTCCAGGGACAGGACCAGATGGCAGAATCATCAAGAAGGACATTGACTCCTTTGTGCCTACTAAAGCTGCTCCTGTGAGTTCTATTTGGCTTTTTAAATTCTGGTTGCAGTTTTGTCTGCAGAGTGCTTTGTCCAGCCTGTTAGACCCTTGCATACAATGAGTGAAATAGCTTAATTAGTGCTGTGTGTTTTTTTGTCTGATTTTACTGGCTGACAGTATATAAGTATGAATGTGTTGTTATTCATATACAAAAGCAAAGATGCTACGGTGATGGTTTAGTTGTTAAGTCATGTCCGACTCTTGCGATCCCATGGACTGTAGCCTGCCAGGCTCTTCTGTCCATGGGATTCTCCAGGCTAGGATACTGGAGTGGGTTGCCATTTCCTTCTCCAGAGGATCTTCCCGACCCAGGAATTTAACCCTGGTCTCCTGCATTGCAGGCAGATTCTTTACCTACTGAGCTATGAGGGAAGTCCCAAAGATGCTATACTACATTGAAATCCTTCTAAGTTGTTTTTGTTTTTTGAGTAGAGAAACTAAAGTTTTCCTAACATATTATCTCACTCAGACACTACTTTTAAAAGCATGCTTGACTTGGGTTTGAGTTTTATGTGGTTAATTAGTCCACAGAGGGATTAAATCCACATCGTCAACTCTGATCAGCAAAGGTGCTAAGATAATCAGCTATAAGTAAGGATAATGATTTAGTTATTTAGATGTTTGGTTTAAAATGAAATATTTGTCAATATTTTTTATTGACACTATTCAGGAAAATACAATACCTTCTTTGTATTTATCTCAATCTTTTCAATTTAAGAATACTTTGATTGTTTTTCTTGAGGAAAATATTCCAAAAACAAAATTGTGATATAAACTAGTCATAGAAAAATGACACTTAAAATATGATTACCCAATTCCAAGTATGAAAATTAAAAACAACTCTTAAACAAGCACAGTCCAGATCTGAGTCCCTTTTGCTCCCTTGGAATAGAAATAGTTATTTTTCTATAAGCTCTTTAATTTTTATTTTGCCATCTGTAAAAGAATCACTAACAGTAGTTCACAGTTGCTGATGCTAAGACTAAGCCACAGTTCCTAAGAACTTTATTACCTCTCTCTAGACTCCAGCAGCCGCTGTGCCTCCTCCAAGTCCAGGAGTGACTCCAGTTCCTACAGGCGTCTTCACAGATATCCCAATCAGCAACATTCGCCGAGTAAGAGTATTACCATAACTCCAGACCTCAAGCTGTTGGGGACATCTTTACTCTGATTGTTCAGTTGCATCCATAGTTTAAAACACTAAGAAGAAGGGAAAAAAAAATAAGAGGAGACTTTTTTTAAAATTGTGGATCTTCGATGATTCATTTAGTAGATGTTTGGTTTGGCCAGTTGAATTCTTAGAATACACAAACACTGTGTTCTGATTAAATACTATTACAAGGGGCTAAATTGTGCTCCAGTCCTACATCTTTCAGTTCTAATAATACATAATACATCGGGTAGGCATCACCTGGGAGCAGGGTAAAGGGGCAAACAGAGTGCTGAATAGATAACATCTCATCTCAAGATAATTGATTTTTTAATCTCTTTTGATTTCAGGTCATTGCACAGCGGTTAATGCAATCTAAGCAAACCATACCTCATTATTACCTTTCTATTGATGTAAATATGGGAGAAGTTTTGTTGGTACGGAAAGAACTTAATAAGGTAAAAGGTGTGGAAATTCCACCTCTATAAATTCTAAAAATCTTGTTTTCCTTCACTGAATATTTACATTTTTGTTCCTGTATTGTATTTTGTTATAAATGCCAGTTGATGATGGAAAGTGGATGTCACCTTAATTTTAACTTGCAGAAAATATCCTGGAGAATTTTCTTTCTTTTTTTGTTTTCCTTTATTTTTTTCTTAGTTGGAGGCTAATTGGTTTTTGCCATTCATTGACATGAATCAGCCATGAATTTACATGTGTTCCCCATCCTGAACCCCTCTCCCACCTCCCTTCCCATCCCATCCCTCTGGGTCTTCCCAGTGCACCAGCCCCGAGCACTTGTCTCATGCATCCAACCTGGGCTGGCAGTCTGTTTCACACTTGATAATATACATGTTTCAATGCTGTTCTTTCAGATCATCCCACCCTCGCCTTCTCCCATAGAGTCCCAAAGTCTGTTCTATACATCTGTGTCTCTTTTTTTGTCTTGCATATAGGGTTATTGTTACCATCTTTCTAAATTCCATATATATGCGTTAGTATACTGTATTGGTCTTTATCTTTCTGGCTTACTTCACTCTGTATAATAGGCTCCAGTTTTCATCCATCTCATTAGAACGGATTCAAATATATTCTTTTTAATGGCTGAGTAATATTCCATTGTGTATATTTACCACAGCTTCCTTATCCATTCGTCTGCTGATGGGCATCTAGGTTGCTTCCATGTCCTGGCTATTATAAACAGTGCTGCGATGAACATTGGGGTGCACGTGTCTCTTTCAGATCTGGTTTCCTCGGTGTGTATGCCCAGAAGTGGGATTGCTGGGTCATATGGCAGTTCTATTTCCAGTTTTTTAAGAAATCTCCACACTGTTTTCCATAGTGGCTGTACTAGTTTGCATTCCCACCAACAGTGTAAGAGGGTTCCCTTTTCTCCACACCCTCTCCAGCATTTATTGCTTGTAGACTTTTGGATAGCAGCCATCCTGACTGGCGTGTAATGGTACCTCATTGTGGTTTTGATTTGCATTTCTCTGATAATGAGTGATGTTGAGCATCTTTTCATGTGTTTGTTAGCCATCTGTATGTCTTCCTTGGAGAAATGTCTGTTTAGTTCTTTGGCCCATTTTTTGATTGGGTCATTTATTTTTCTGGAGTTGAGCTGGAGGAGTTGCTTGTATATTTTTGAGATTAATCCTTTGTCTGTTGCTTCGTTTGCTATTATTTTCTCCCAATCTGAGGGCTGTCTTTTCACCTTGCTTATAGTTTCCTTTGTTGTGCAAAAGCTTTTAAGTTTCATTAGGTCCCATTTGTTTATTTTTGCTTTTATTTCTAAAATTCTGGGATGTGGGTCATAGAGGATCCTGCTGTGATTTATGTCGGAGAGTGTTTTGCCTATGTTCTCCTCTAGGAGTTTTATAGTTTCTGGTCTTACATTTAGATCTTTAATCCATTTTGAGTTTATTTTTGTGTATGGTGTTAGAAAGTGTTCTAGTTTCATTCTTTTACAGGTGGTTGACCAGTTTTCCCAGCACCACTTGTTAAAGAGGTTGTCTTTTTTCCATTGTATATCCTTGCCTCCTTTGTCGAAGATAAGGTGACCATAGGTTCGTGGATTTATCTCTGGGCTTTCTATTCTGTTCCATTGATCTATATTTCTGTCTTTGTGCCAGTACCATACTGTCTTGATGACTGTGGCTTTGTAGTAGAGTCTGAAGTCAGGCAGATTGATTCCTCCAGTTCCATTCTTCTTTCTCAGGATTACTTTGGCTATTCGAGGTTTTTTGTATTTCCATACAAATTGTGAAATTATTTGTTCTAGTTCTGTGAAAAATACCGTTGGTAGCTTGATAGGGATTGCATTGAATCTATAGATTGCTTTGGGTAGTATACTCATTTTCACAGTATTGATTCTTCCAATCCCTGAACACTATATGTTTGTCCATCTATTTGTGTCCTCTTTGATTTCTTTCATCAGTGTTTTATAGTTTTCTATATATAGGTCTTTGTTTCTTTAGGTAGATATTCTCCTAAGTATTTTATTCTTTTTGTTGCAATGGTGAATGGTATTGTTTCCTTAATTTCTCTTTCTGTTTTCTCATTGTTAGTGTACAGGAATGCAAAGGATTTCTGTGTGTTAATTTAATTTCCTGCAACTTTACTATATTCATTGATTAGCTCTAGTAATTTTCTGGTAGAGTCTTTAGGGTTTTCTCTGTAGAGGATCATGTCATCTGCAAACTCTGGCGAATTTTCATTTTCTAACCCTTGATTAAAGCTTATCGTTAAAGTCGACTTTGCCATGGATCCATTTTAGCCTAACATAGTCACTGGGATTCTATGAGACTACTTGAGTCTCTTCAGGTAGGTAAGAAGCAGTGTGTTTGCTTTGTCTTCATACCTTCTTAGTACTTAGTTATTTTGTAACTTACAGAGGAAATTTAACAGGTGTAATGGTCTACATTAGAAAAGATGAAAAAGAAACAACTTTTGGTTTCTTTTCATCCTTTCTACCCCAGGACATTTGTATATCCACCCCCTCCCACATCCTCAAGATTATATAGTTTCAGTCTTCGAGAATTTAAGAAACTAAAATGGTTTCTTTACTTTGCAGATGTTAGAAGGAAAAAGCAAGATTTCCGTCAATGACTTCATTATAAAAGCTTCAGCTTTGGCATGTTTAAAAGTTCCTGAAGCAAATTCTTCTTGGCTGGACACAGTTATAAGACAGTAAGTATAACCCTTTTCAGGAAGGTGTGTTCTGTATCTATACATCTGTCTGTCAATCTATCTATCCAGCAGCAGTTTTGTGTGTGTGTTGTCTAATGTGTAAGTAGGAGTGTAGGGAGTAAGAAGAAACAGAATACAGAGTGGGAGATGATGTCCATGGGCAAAACAATTTGAAAACAACATAAAATTATTTCTGAGACCATGCTAAATTTAATCAGTAAAGACTACAGATGCTTAAGAGTTCAGGGAAGGGAGAGAAGTGTACAGATATGTATACTTAAGTTGATAATGACTCTCACAAGGCCGGATTGAAATGGTTTTGTTCACCAATTAGTTCTGCTAAACTTTAGTGGTGACAAAATTGAAAACAAAACTAAAAAGCAGTATTTGTTAATATTACGGTATCGTGTGACTGGCATGGTGCTTAGTGTCTTTCGCATGTTGTCCCATTTAATTCTTAGGACCACCTTATGAGGTAGGTGCTTTTACTCCTATTTTCCAGATGAATAAACTGAGGCTCAGTAAGTTGAGATACTCCCTGAGTTCATATGTTAGTAAGCAGCAGAACTGGGATTGGAACCAGGATTCTGACTCAGTCTAGCCTTTTTCTACTATGTAGATGGTTTTATATTATTAATTTAATTTTTATTACAATAATAGTATATATCATATACTATTTAGTATATATCATATACTAAAAATTAATATATCATATTAATTCGTGGCTTATGGTGACCTGCTCAGCCTTTATCTGAGGTCCACTCCCAAGAGGCAAACACAGCCTTAAACTATTATTTCTTTTGGTATTTACCTTCATGTTTCTTTGGGCTCCCCTGGTGGCTCAGTTGGTGAAGAATCTGCCTGCAATGCAGGAGACCCCGGTTCAATCCCTGGGTCGGGAAGATCCCCTGGAGAAGGAGATGGCTATCCACTCCAGTATTCTTGCCTGGAGAATTCCATGGACAGAGGAACCTGGTGGGCTACAGTCCAGGGGGTCACAAAGAATCAGAAATGTCTGAGTGACTAATTTCACTTTTCATATCTCTTTTTTTTTTTGATGTGTTCACTTACTTTAATAACACTACATTTATCGTGTTATCACTATGTAATGTGAATCCAGGTTCAAGAGAATTTCATCAGTGCAGCAAAACAAAGTTTGTTGTGGTATACCAAAGTTTGCATACTGTCTGACCAAACCAGCTGGCTCATAAATCACTTCCATTATAGGCAATTCATTTAATCTATGATTCTTTTAGAGAAAATGAACATACTGCACACATTTAAAAAGTGTTTTTCATTTACCTTTGCATTGGCGCTTAAAATGCACATTTCTATTTCAAAATAACACTTAAAATTGTTCTAATATAACAGCAGCAAAATATAATTTTGCAATTACAAAAGAGCTAAAAGGGATCTACAATTAAGTTATTCTCATGTTTACAATTATGATTCTAAAGTAAGTTATACTTCAAAGTGGCTCTGTTACCAGCTTTTTGAGGTTTGGTTTAAAAACACACAGACTTTCAGGGAGGTTTATATCTGTTGTATTCCATGCACTGTTCTGAAAGGGTTCCTCTAAAGCCAAGTGAAGTGAAGTGAAGTGAAGTTGCTCAGTCATGTCCAGCTCTTTGAGACCCCATGGAATGTAGCCCACCAGGCTCCTCCATCTGTGGAGTTTTCTAGGCAAGAGTACTGAAGAGCGTTGCCATTTCCTTCTCCAGGGGATCTTCCCGACCCAGGGATCAAACCTGGATCCCTTAAAACAGTACTTAGTCCACAAGGCAGTCAGAGGGTTAAACTAAATGGGGTAAATAGGATTCCTACATTACATCAAAAGCATATGATTATTCTCCAGCCACTGGGAGCATTTTCAGGATTGGCATGTTGTCCTCTTGAGAACTAATTTCATCAGAAGGGTTTGAGAAGGTGGAGAGGTAACACTATCAAGTATATTTAAAAGTGACATGTTTCTTTTATGCTAATCTGACTCTCCTGAGTGACCTAGCTAGTGAACTAGTCACCAGTAACTTGGTCACCTGGCAAATCAAGCCTGCAAGAAAGGAAGCCAGTATTGAAATTACCGTGTTCTTGTCTGACCCAAACAGTTTATTTTCATCATAAACATATAACCTCAATATGAGATGTCTAACTAAAGCAAGCACCACCAAGGCCAAGACGGCATCTCCTCTTCTAAGGTTTAGGTTTTGCCCAGAATTCTTGATACAGGGAATCGCCCATATCAAGAGTCATTGCTCCCACAACAAAGCCTTGGGCTGCCACATGCATGTGGGTCAGGTGAACAGACGTTTTAGTATTTCTCCTTCTCTTCCATCTATATAATCCATAGGCAATGATTGCTGCAAAACGTGCCATTCCAGTGGGGACAAATGGTGCCTCTCTTGGTTTTCAGATAAGTTTAGATCCCTGATCTTAATCATATGAAGAAAGAGAAGTGTGTTGCTTGACACAGTGGTTGAAGAATCTTTAGACAACTACAGGACGTTTCAGGTTCCTCTCGGCTTCTGACCTGGCTCCCGCACCTGCCATCTACCTTCATATTTCTAAATAACATTTTTCTGTTGCCTTTTTTCTCAGTTTTTCATTTCATTTATTTATCACCTTTCTGTTAAAGAAGGTTAAAATTTAGCTTTTTTGTACCCTGTCTACAAACACATACACACAACCCATCATCCGACCAGATTGATTATAGTACAGATTTTTAAATTGCTTATCATCATTTCTTTCTGAAGTTTCTTTCAGAAAAAAAAAGTTTCAGTTTCTATCTGAAACTCCCCAAGAAAACTAAACATGTTTCCCAAGACTGAAAAATAGTTTACTGATCCTGATTTTCATCTTGGTCACCCTGCTATTAGAGAATATCTGAGGGTCTTACTATTCTTTAGAGACTATATTAGTTTTCTAAGGTTGCCAGTACAAATTACCACAAAGTTTGTGGCTTAACAAAAATTTACTCCCTCCTAGTTCTGAAGGTTAGACGTGTGAAATTAAGGTATCAGCAGGACCTTCTCCCTGCACAGGCTCTTGGGTGAACTCTTGCTTGCTCTCTCCAGCTCTGGCGGCTTCGGGCATTCCTTGGCTTGGGGCTGCTCAGCTCCAGCTTCACATGGCCTTCATGTGTCCATGTCTTCCCTTCTGTCTCTTAAAAGGACAGTTGGCATTGGATTTAGGACCCACCCAGATAACCCAGGGTGAACTCATCTCAAAGGTGTGATTATATCAGTGAAGACCTTTTTACTAAATATGGTCACATTAATAGACTCCGGGATTAAGACATAGACATAGCTTTGAGAGCACGGTTATGAACATTTGAGGACAATTCTTTGTACTGACATATGTCTTCATTTCTTTTGGGTAGACTCCTTGGAGTGGAATTGCTGGATTGTAGGGTAAATTTATGTTTAACCTTTTAAGAATATCTGAAGGAAACACTACTTAGATGAAAGGATGGTGGTTGCAGCTCAAGTTCTGTGAATTATTTATTAACCCTTACCAAATGCCCTTCATTTATTTGTTCATACAGCTATTCAACAAGTATTTATTGGACACATGGTGTTAACTGGATTTTGTTGTTGTTCAGTCGCTTAGTCATGTCTGACTCTTTGCAGTCCCGTGGACTGCAGTACACCAGGCTTCCCCGTCCTTCACCGTCTACCTGAGTTTGCCCAAACTCATGTCCTTAGAGTCAGTGATGCCATCCAACCATCTCATCCGCTGTCACTCCCTTCGGCCCTCAGTGTTTCCCAGCATCAGGGTCTTTTCCAATGAGTTGGTTTTTAACATCAAGTATTGGAGTTTCAGCATCAGCCCTTCCAATGAATATTCAGGATCGATTTCCTTTAGGATTGACTGTTTTAGTGGTGAACAAGATAGGAAACACCATCCCTACTCTATTAGGAATATTTTTAAACATTATTGTAATAACAGGATAATTTAATTAAGAAAGCAGTGCTGCTGTGTGATACCTTGGCTGGAGCCTAGCTGTGGTAGCTGCTGTCACTGTATTATTAGAGCAGGTCCCTGTGTTTGCAGCTGGCAAAAGCCTGCTGCCTTGGGCCAGCTTGGGCACACAGGGGCTCGGCACCCATAGTCTCCAAAGAGCTGGAGTTCCTTTTTTCATGTGAAGTTTTATCTTTTTTAAGTTGAAGGATAGTTGATTTATAATATTAGTTTTAGGATTATGACATAGTGATTCAGTGTTTTTGTGGGTTGTACTCCCTTATAAGTTATTACAAGGTAACGGCTATAATTCCCTGTGCTATATATGTTTGCTGCTTATCTATCCTATACGTGGTAGTTTGTTAGTCACACATACCCACTTTGTCACCCTGCCCTTTCCTCTGTCCTTTGGTGACCATTAGTTTGTTTTCTCTGTGAGTTTGTTCCTGTTTTGCAAGTACATCCATTTGTATTAATCTTTTTACATTCCACATATAAGATATACAGTGTTCGTCTTTCTCTGATTTATTTCCTGAAGCATAATATTCCCTAGGTCTACCCATGTGGCTGCAGATGGTAGAATTTCATTCTTTTTTTTTATGGCTGAGTAATATTCCTGTGCGTGTGTGTATGTGTGTGTGTGTGTGAGTGAGATGTCCATTGTCTGTTGATGGGCACTTGGGCTTGGGTTGCTTCCCTGTCTTTAATTGGTATGTTCATTTTTCTGGATATATACACCCAGGAGTGGAATTGCTGGATCATACAATAGTTCTATTTTACTTTTTTAAGGAACCTCCATACTCTCTTCCTATAGTGGTTGCACCAGTTTATTGATGCATTCTCACCAACAATTTATAATTTATGCTCTCTCACCCTTTTCATCCTTGCCAACATTTGTTAACTTTTTTCTTAATTGCAGAACACTTTAGCAGGGGCCCTTACACAGACAACCCCTAAGGAGATCCTGATACAGTTCAGGAGTTTGGGAACTTGGTTGGGGCGGGGGGGGGGGGGATATAATTCTTTTTTACTAATCTTTATTGGGAAATTTTCGGCTTCCCTGATAGCTCAGTTGGTAAAGAATCTGCCTGCATTGCAGGAGACCCCAGTTCGATTCCTGGGTCAGGAAGATGTGCTGGAGAAGAGATAGGCTACCCATGGCAGTATTCTTGGGCTTCCCTTGTAGCTCAGCTGTTAAAGAATCCGCCTGTAATGTGGAAGACCTGGGATCGATCCCTGGGTTGGGAAGATCCCCTGGAGAAGGGAAAGGGTACCCACTCCAGTATTTTGGCCTAGAGAATTCCATGGACTGTATAGTTCATGGGGTCACAAAGAGTTGGACACGACTAAGTGACTTTTATTTTCAGTGTGAAATTTAGGATTTTCTCCTATTTATTTTTTAGAGAACAAATCAAAGAGGTGTTTTAATACTTGTGCTGATGACCAAATAAAAATCAAGTTGTTTTCTTATGCATTGTGGTTGTTACGGATGTCTTAAAATATATCATGACTCCAAAAGCATAGCCATAATTAGATCTGCTGCAAGATTTTTGAAGCACATATATCACAGTTTTGTTTTCTGAATAGTTCAGTAACTGAATTTCAGTATATTTTGTTTTGGGGTGAGTTTTTTTTTTTCTTTTTTTTGGTAAGTATTTTGTTTCCTATGTTTAAAAATTATGAGAAGGGACCCAAATGCAAGTGTCTGTAGCATAGAAAAGATTAGGAATCCTGCTTGTATGTTCTGAGACAGCACTACCACCCTACCATGTGAGCACGCCTGTTTCCCCCCCCCATGCAGTTCTTTCCCTTCAGTCTTCCTTTTATCTGCTCAAGCTCTGCTTGCAGACGAAGCTCCAGCTAGTCCTCTTCATCTCATAAATCTTTAGGAGCTCTTTTCAGTTCTCACTGGATGCTGAACGTTTTTTCCCCAATTATGTTCATGATGTTGGTCAATGCAGATAAGGGGTAGTTAGTGAGTACACGTGAAGCCAACCTACTGACACATTTCTCATTCCTTTTTAAAAAGTGCGGATCTAAAAAAATAAAAGTTCAGGTCTGAGAGGGGGCATAGTAAAATTGAAAAACCAGGCAAGATCTCTCTGGCTAAAAAGTAACACAGACTGACTGCCACTATTCTTGCTTAACCTGACACAGACTCTTAACAGTTGTGATTATTGAGTTTTACTTTTATTTTTTTCTTTTTAAATAGAAATCATGTTGTTGATATCAGTGTTGCAGTCAGTACTCCTGCAGGACTCATCACACCTATTGTATTTAACGCACATATAAAAGGACTGGAAACCATTGCTAATGATGTTGTTTCTTTAGCAACCAAAGCACGAGAGGGTAAACTACAGCCACATGAGTTCCAGGTAAGATATGTATTTACTTTGTGAATGTTACTATGTTATTTTAGTGAACTGTATTATTTTTAAAGTTGGCCTTATGCTTTTATTGCATTTTCCACTTTTTGATTCTGCCTTGTGTTCTCACTGACAGAAGGTCTTGAAAGAAAAATTGAGTAACCTATCAAAAGCTGAAAAAAAGTTTTTCAAGTAGTGTGCAAAAGCCACACGACTGATTTGTGTTCATGTTGCTATGGTGGTGTGTTTTCAGCAAAGTGTACCCCATTCAGTTTTTTATTTCTTTTTTTTCCCTTTCACCTTTATGTGTAATTAGTAAATAGAAGTTGTATATATTTAAGGTGTACAACTTGTTGTTTTGATATATGTATACTCTGTGATCGTGACAAGGTAATTAACGTATCTGTCACCTCATATACTTGCCATTTTCCTTTTTTTTTAATGGTAGTTGAATCCTTCTTTTAGAAAATATATTATTGAAGTATAGTTGATTTACAATGTGTTAATTTCTATTGTACAGCAGAGTGTCTCAGTTATACATGTATATACATTCTTTTTCATATTCTTTTCCATTATGGTTTGTCACAGGATATTGAATATAGTTCCCTGTGCTATACAGTAGGACCTTGTTGTATATCCATCCTATATCTAATAGTTTGTATCTGTTAATCCCAAACTCTCAATTGAACCCTTAACCATGAGTCTGTTCTCTATGTCTGTGAGTCTATTTCTGTTTCACAGATAAGTTCATTTGTGTCATATTTTATATTGCACATATAAATGGTATCATATGGTATTTGTCTTTCTCTTTCTGACTTGCTCAGTATGATAATATCTAGGTTCATCCATGTTGCTAAGAATCCCTTCTTAAAGTAAAACACCTTAAGGTCTTTTCACAAAACATTGTCATTTTTTCTGATTTATATTGACAAGCAGTTACCATGATCTGTTTTTAAATCTCTTTTTTCCTTTAGGGTGGCACTTTTACAATCTCAAATTTAGGAATGTTTGGGATTAAGAACTTCTCTGCTATTATTAACCCACCTCAAGCATGTATTTTGGCAATTGGTGCTTCAGAGGATAGACTGGTTCCAGCAGATAATGAAAAAGGGTAAGTGCCAAAATGGAGAGGGAGTTGTAAACTTACTTTCATTACAGTATACCTGACTTTGAATCTTAGGTTTTATAATTATTGGCGTGGCATACTGGAACTTCACACAGAGTTAGATGTAAGCACATCTAAGTTTCTCAGGGCACCAACTTTTCTTATTTTGCTATTTGAGATGGGAAGTCTTATTTACTCTAGGTTAGTGGTCAGCATAATTTTTCTTAAAGAGCCAGTTAGTAAATGTTTCATTTTTTCTGGGTCATACAGTTGCTATCGCAAATACTTGGCTATTGTGGTATGAAAGCAGGCATAGGCAATACATAAACGTATTCCAGTAAATCTGTGTTTGGTAGGATTTGGCCTGTGGGCTGTTGTTTCCTGACCTGTATCCTTCAGATGGTTGTTTGGTCTGTTTCTTCAAACGACTGATTTGAGCTAGAGGTGTACAACCCATGAAGAGTAGGTAAAAAATAATGTTACCTGGTTGGGATTGTAAGTTAGGAGTTGGCATTTGGGCTGGTTACTAGCTAACATCTAGTGATTGCTTTTAGAGTACCTAATAATGTTTTTTTTATCTTTTTCTAGATTTGATGTGGCGAGCATGATGTCTGTTACACTCAGTTGTGATCATCGGGTTGTCGATGGAGCAGTTGGAGCCCAGTGGCTTGCTGAGTTTAGAAAGTACCTTGAAAAACCTATCACCATGTTGTTATAATTAATCCAAGAATTTCTAGACTCTCTTAGGTCACACTGTTTCATTCTTACCAAGGTATTAATATGTTATTAAATGGTGGTTCCCTTTTTATTTTAAGGTTAACCAGTTATTTTTGAGTCTGTCCATATATTTGTAATGGGCATTACTGAATTTTAAAATGCCAATTACATCCCAATATTGTGCACATTTAATAAACACCAGATTTTAAGCTGCGTACTCCAGGTCAAGGGGCCTATGGCATAGCCCTTTGGTGGTAAGTCCTGCCACTGGAAATGCAGAGGTAGAATTGTGGTTCCCTATTGAGACAGGCACATAAAAGTAACCTTGATGAGACACTGAGGTTTTGAAATTTAATTACCTCAAATGTTTTGATGAGATTTGAGAAAAGTCAGAAAAACTAGTTCTTTTGGAGAAAGAATTTGAACTGAAACTTGATTTTGGAATTTAAGCCTAATTTGAAAGTTTGTGTTACATAAATCTTGGTTTATCATGGATGGGAAGCATGGAGAACTTGAAGGAAAATACGAGAAAACTTTAAAAGTCAACATTTTCATAGGACTGTTCAACCAGCTGTTCTTTATTTTTCTATGAATTCAGAAATGGTTGTTTTCTCCTCTTGAGATGAAGATATAAATATGAACCAGCTCCTTGGTATAAGTGAGAATTTGTGTGGGTATCTATTTAAATAATTTAAATGTGTCATTGTGAGAGCAGAATTCTATAATTGCCTCAAATAAAAGAATATGCTTATAGAATTTAACAGAGTTAACTTGTGAAAGTAGAATTTTTCCTGTAAAATTAACTAGTGGTTACTTGCAAATGAACTTAATTAGTAGGATTTATTACTTAAATACTTGAAAAACTTGTATCAAGTAACTGTGGAATGGAATAAGTGTATATATGTAAATATGGTTCCTAGTGAGATATGTGCCAAAGTCCATTTATCACCAAGTTGCGTCTAAAAAGAAGAAGGGGAGAGATACACTAGTGGATAGTTTGGAGTGATAAAAGATGATGACTGGAACAAACTGGTCATTTCTGGTTTTGGATAAAGTGCAAATGTTAAATGTGTACAAAAAGAAGTGTTCTATGTTTTTCCATCCCAATGTTGTCTCATGTAAAATAAGAAAACCCTAAAATCCTGTCAGAGAGAAAAAGATTATTTAGGTTGTTTGCTACCTTATCAGCCTAAATATTTATTTTCCATTTTGTTACAATTTGCCTTTCTGTGGGGGGGGGGGGGGGTGGTGATATTCAGGATGATAAAAATGAATTAGAAACATTATCACAATTCTAGACTTTCTATGGAATTGATGTGATTTAATAAATAAATTTGGAATTGTTTATAACTATTAACAAATCTGATCCTCCTTGTAAAATGTAATATGCAGAACTATTCCTTGAAATTTAGGTCTTTCAATGTTGAATCTGTCTCTAAGTGTTCATTATTACATGGTGCACAAGTGACACTCCATATATTCCAGAAATATTTTCCTTGCTGTATTATTATGAAAATAATACGTGAATCTGACTTTTCAGTAGTAACTTTAGCTTGAAGATTATGGAGAAGGAACAAACTTATAACAAGGGACCATCAGCAGTATGAGCCACGTCTAGGTCACATACACGAAACTTCAAAGATAATTCATTATTTGGTGGTGTTTATGGCTCTGTTGTTCCCTTGAGGGAAAAATTTAAAAGTTGCATTCTAATAGAAATTGTTCTGAGTTAAAAATTAACCTGAGCTATCATCTAAATTTGGATTCAGTTTATTTCCCTTACCAGCTGGAATGAACAAGTGTTAGAAATAGTGTTTTGGTTCAAATTAGATTGTTTGAAAATTAAACTATATGTTTTCAATGTGTCTTGTCTAATATTTTTGATTTGTTGGTAATTATTTTTCACATTAGATTTTTTAAGACCAAGAACAGCTATGTATATGGTAAGCTCTTAATACAGATACATTTTGAGTTTATAGAATTGGTAAAATAAGTTCTGAGTTTGGGAGCATATAATCTAACCTTCAGGCTCAAGGAGCCCTCTTGTTAGGAGGTGGCACATAGCAAGAAGGGAGAGTGGTCTGGCTCTGCTAGCTATAAACTCCATTCCTGAGGTCTGTGAGTGAAGTATCCCAAGGCCTGGACTACAGAAGTTGCCCAGTGCGAGCGGTCCTAGGAATGCACTGTAAGGAATTCTCATCATTCAGTAATGCATAAACTCTGGAGGACATGAGGAAATAATCACTACTGATTCCTAATCTCTAAAACCAAGTTGGTAGAAGAATCTGATATCTGAATCAAGTATAATTCATGTCCATCTCAAAGTTTGCAGTTTTGAAGAAGAACTATCTTGATAAGATTCAGATTAAACTGCTCAACTGTTCATTATTAGTTAATGCTCTTCCTAACCAAAGTTTTGCTTTTTGTAGGGAGGGGGAGGTGGAGATGTTATAAGTGAAAGTATTTTGTAAAATAACTAGGATGTAAGTTGACCATTTTAACGTTAAGCATGCTAGATCTTGTACTCATTAATAAGTACACAATTACATAACTCCTGACATAGTAACACCTAAGTGTGAGAGTGCAAGTGTAGAGATTCAGCTATTTCTGTGTAACTAGGTATGGGAATTTTTAGAAATTAAGTTTGACAGTGATTTTGTAGAAGAAAAGATAAGGTCAAAGCATTCCCAAGTCTTTTGAGGGATGAGTATAGGATATCACAGTTCCAGAAAACTTTACAACAATAAATTATCCTATTGCTAGAAAAATTAAAGTCCACACCAGGTTTAAGAAAATTACTCATTTGTAATTATCATAGGTCAGTTACTGCTATCACACACTTTAGTTTCTAAAGTTAAAAAGTTTTAAAATTATGAGAACTATTTAAAGACTTTATGTTGAATTAGAAACTAATAATTACAAGGAGAGTGTTTTGCATTTAGAAAAGACAAGGGATGTTTAAAGTTTGGTGTGAATGTTGCTTACTCTGGATATAAATTGGAAAACTGATACTTTTGCATTGAACAAAGAACTGACAGATGAATGGGAGTTTAAAAGTACATCAGTTCTGTATTTTAAAAGTTATTTTCTTAAGAGAAAGGCACTTGTCCCAAAGTGAGCCCCTTTGCCTTAAATTAGAGTTGGATGTATTTTATGTCTTACATGTAATAATACCCAATGACTGTCACTGCATCATTTTATCTAATCCACAAATCCATACCTGATGTTAAAGGGAGGTAGGCCTGGGTGGCTTGGACTCCTGCCAGAGCCTGCTTTATAGAAGTACAGAGGTTCACAGAAGCAAAGGTTTACACATTATTATAGTGGCCCTACATCTTTATCGCCAGAGGAAACTTTCACTGCTAAGGTACATCTTGGTAGTAAAAAACTTGCACAGTCTGGTATTTATTCCTGATGCAAAAATTTACTAGAGACAAAAATTTTTTCAACTAGTAAACAAAGAATTCTTACATATTATAATGCCTGGAGACAAACGGACTTTTCCCAAATGGTATTTAAGTTACTTGAGGCCGTTACAAATATCTTCAAAACAAGTATATCATGGCAGCACTGTTTTTGGTAGTTTGTGCTTGATGCCAAGTTTACTTGAGGAGAAAGAATTTTAAAAAGCAGCCTATGAGAAAATCTCATTCCATCAAAAGAAATTCCTAGAAAATGAAACTTTAAAAGTTAAGATAAACCTCTTCACAGATAATGGAGGCCCTCTAATTCACATGACTTTCACAGAAAACTCCAAATACACGATGCTTTTAACTTACAGCAATGGCATTGTGACAATTAAAGTGGCTTTCTCTTTGATAAATTTTGCTGTAGTCATTTCAGTATCCACAGATTCTGGAAGGTTTAGATGTAATCTGTACTTTTCAGAGACCTCGATCAATATATCATCCTAAAAAGAAACCGAGAGATTTTAAAAGATGTAAATAGAAAAGTACTTCCTGGTTAGAATTTGTTACAGGTTTATTGTTCCCAGTTATTCACTCCTTTCCCGTAAGAAGAGGGTCCACTTGTGAGCAGTAAAGGTATTGTAAATGCCTGAGATTCTGAGGTATTTATTGTTCAGTACATTAAAATTGTGTTGATAACAGTACCAGAAGATGGATGCTGCCATTCTAAATTATGCGGCATTGACTTCAGGGCTGACCAGCAAACAGCAAGAAAACTTGCTGGAGACTGGAAAGATGGTGATCTGTGTTTTATGGTGACAAAGCCCTTATCACAATAATTTGGAAGACAGTCTACCTCATTAACTTGTGTTTTTAGGTACAGAAATGGGAAAACAGAATGAGGTTTGCATGCATTGGTTCTGTTGGCTACATTTAACAAGGTACCAGAAAAAGATGAAGTTAGAAAAGAAGTTCTCAATTTGCAAGGGAATATAAAAAATTGAAAGGGACTATACAGAGCCCATAAATTTTAAGACTTGAATGAAAAATGGAACCAATTTTTGTTTTCAACCAGTAATAAAACAGAAATAACCTTTCAGTCTCAACATTCTCTGGGCAGCAAACAGGCTGAGTAAGCTCCTCAGCATCTAATGACAGCATAGTCTTCAATGCTCTTTTCAGGCATGGCTAAGGTAGATTATGAAAGAGGAAAAAAACTCCCAAAGAATGGAGTTAAAAGTCATGGAAAATAATGGCTAGGTAATCAAGGAACCTTGTAAAGGGACCTCAGCAAGAACATCGTCTACCTCCAGGAAAGGGACCTTTGCACTATTGGCCTACCAGGATTTTAGAATTGCTGAGTACCAATAACTACTGTGTGCCTTACAGTTTTTCAGTTTCTGAATTGAGACTGTTGATTGTGGTTATTCTCTCTCCATTCTACATTGTATGATGCATGGGGTTACAGAAATAGATAACTTGTTATTGCAGTTCATGCAAATTTTGTCTAATGCAGATTATGATGGCAAAATCCTGCACTTTGGAGTCTGATATTGGGATTGGAGGTATGTTTCTTGGGAAAAGAAGCAAATACTTGTGACCAAGAGGGTGGACTGTGGTAGACTGTAGATTGTTGCTTTTCTTTTGTAAGAGGATTATGCATCCTTGTCATGTAACTTCAGTGACTGCTTGTGAGAAGAATGTTCTTCCCAGCCATACTGATGTAGGACTTGGCCTTCTGACTTACTTTGATCAATACAATGTGAGCATAAGTAATAGATTCCATATCTGAGAGGAAGTTTTAGGATCTATTGCATGGTTTTGCCATTTCTATTTTCCCTCCTCCATAAGAATGACTTGTCTAAAGTGAAAATTGTTCCTTCATCTTGTATCTTAAAATGTGCGACACTCACAGAGTGAAGCAGGATGAGCTGACATGTAACCTGAGCAAATTATTGTAAGCCACTGAGATTGTGGAGTTTTTTTTACTGCAGCATAACATAGTGATTATTGACTGATACAAATTTACAGTATTACCTATTCAGCTTACCTCAGAAACACTAAGGTCACAGAGAGATACTGAATTAATACCAGGTAATTCAACTTTTAATTCAATTTTCAGAGGTTTCTCATTCTGATCTGCCACAATTTTTAATTCATAGGCTGGTCTCTTCATCTCCACTTCAGTCTCTGTACTAGAAATCTCTTCTATCAGACATGCTGTTTTACTTGAAACTTGGTCTTTCGGCAGTAAAAGTTGAGGAAACTGATCTGAATTGCTCACAGTACTGCTTCTTATCTTTTCAAGGGTCAGTTCTTTATTTTAAAAAAGGAAGATGAAATCACAAAATTAATCAACATGAAATACTATCAGGCAATGAGCTGTAACAGTGATAGTGTTAGCCAAGATGGCAGACAAAGCTGCAACTAAATTGGTTTGGGAATCTTAAAAGATTCTTACAGAGAATCTGGTTTAAAAGTTTGCAGGATTTATCTTTAACGACATGCTAATTTTTTTTTTATTTTATTGAAGTATAGTTGATGTGTAGGGTTGTGTTTAATATCTGTGGAATAACAAAAAGACCCAGTTATATATTTTTCATATTCTTTTCCATTATTTTTATTTTCCATTATGGTTTATAATAGGATATTGAATATAATTTCCTGTGCCATACAATAGGACCTTGTTGTTTATCCATCCTATATATAATAGTTTGCATCTGCTAATCCCAAACTCCCAGCTCATTTCTCTTTCCCCCCTGCTCCGTGGCAAACACAAGTCTTTTCTTTATGAGTCTGTTTCTTAGATAGGTTCATTTTTTAGATTCCACGCATAAGCGATATCATGTGGTATTTGTCTTCCTCCTTCTGATTTACTTTGCTTAGTATGATAATATCTAGGCCCATCTATGTTGTTTAGTCACGAAATTGTATCTGACTCTTTTCGTGACCCTATGGACTGTAGCCTGCCAGGCTTCTCTGTCCATGGGATTTCCCAGGCAGGAATACTGGAGTGGGTTGCCATTTTCTTCTCCTGGGGATCTTCCTGACCCTGGGATTGGACCCACACCTCCTGAATTGGTAGGTGAGTCCTTTACCACTGAGTCATCAGGGAAGCCTCCGTCTATGCTGCTGCTGCTGCTAAGTCACTTCAGTCGTGTCCAACTCTGTGTGACCCCATAGACGGCAGCCCACCAGGCTCCCCCATCCCTGGAATTCTCCAGGCAAGAACACTGGAGTGGGTTGCCTTCTCCAATGCATAAAAGTGAAAAGTGAAAGTGAAGTCGCTCAGTTGAGTCCGACTCCTTGGTGACCCCATGGACTGCAGCCTACCAGGCTCCTCCGTCCATGGGATTTTCCAGGCAAGAGTAATGGAGTGGGGTACCATTGCCTTCTCTGCCATCTATGTTGGGACATGCTAATATTTCTAATATCTTATCTTTATATTTTTCTATCTT